ATATGCCATCAATCGAACAATCAATAATCAACCAATTTCATGCAAAGGAATTCACCAATTTGCTCTTTGTAGTCTTGCCTGTTTTTAGTGTTCCCTCAATTCTGAGCCATAAAGTACAGTCTTCAATACAAAAATTAGAGCTCCTATTAACAGAATGATCTGGAAAAACCCATATACATCAGGGCTGCCTGACATGTCTCACTGATTCTAATTTTAGTAGGACCCCTTAGGACATACCATATTTTTCAGAGTATAAGACGAACCTTTTTCCCCCCAAAAAAGAGGCTGAAAAGCTGGGTGCGTCTTATACACTGAATACAGCATTTTTGGCCTCCTGAAACCCCGCCTCCTTCACAAAAATGGACATGCAGAGGGTTTGGGAGACCTGCAGAGTGCAAAAACTTTTTTTTAAATTTACCTCTTCAAAATCTGGGTGCGTCTTATACACTGAATACAGCATTTTTGGCCTCCTGAAACCCCGCCTCCTTCACAAAAATGGACATGCAGAGGGTTTGGGAGACCTGCAAAGTGCTCCTGGAGGCTGGGGAGGGCAAAAACGAGCGAAAAACAGGCGTTTTTTTTTGCTCATTTTGCCCCTACCTCACAGCCCCCAGGAGTACTCCACAAGCCTCCCAAAGCCTATGCATGCCATGTTTTTGGCAAAAAAAACCCAGGCCCATTTTGCTCATCTCCCCCCCAACCCCCAGGAGCACTTTGCAGGCCTCACAAACTCTGCATGCCTGTTTTTCACAAAAAATGAGGCATGCAGAAGGTTTGGGAGACCTGCAGAATGCAAAAACCTTTTTTTTAATTTACCTCTTCAAAATCTTGGTGCGTCTTATACTCCGAAAAATACAGTAGGTTCAGTGTTTAAACATTTTTAATGCACCATTTGGTTAAATTCACCTTATTTATAAAACAGTTAGTTTGATTTAGATTTAATTAGCAAATTATGAATCCACAATCAGGCAAGTTTGCTCAAAATATTACAATATGGTTGGTTGGTTGGTTGGTTGGTTGGTTGGTTGGTTGGTTGGTTGGTTGGTTGGTTGGTTGGTTGGTTGGTTCATTCAATAGTTCGTTCATTCATTTACAGGACTTACACACCATTCTAAACAATTAATATAAATCACTTTTTAAAAACAACATTGTACATTATACGTAAAAGAAGAAGGCATTCTCAGAAAAATAAAAGGAAGTCATCATCAAGGGACACAGTGACACAGAACTAGATTTCATGGCTTCATGAAGCCACCAAGGTATTAATTTTTCTGAAGTGTATATATGGGTTGTAATAGTCTGTGAAACATCTCAGATGTTTCACAGACTATTAGCTTTTAGATTTCACCACCGCACTTACCACCACAATGGTTTAGGATCTCTGAACCAAGTTGTGGACCAAAGGAAGCATGGCATCTTTGGGGTGAGACTAGCAACATTATTCAGGAAGAATTTCTTTCAAGGATATAGCACATTGATGGCTAACCTTTTCTGGATTGAGTGCCCAAAGCGTGTGGGTGGGTGTGTGCAAATGCATGGACGCACGCCAGAATCCCCAAAATGCAAAGCATGTGGGGCCCACGCATGGACCCTGTGTCCGTGCATGCACACATTTCCCCCGCATGTGCCCTGCCCCCCACATGCACCATTTGCCCCCATGTATGTGTGCCTCCCAGGCATGCACATGCAGGGTCCCCACATATGCTCTGCACAGCAGAGCCTCGAAGACAAGGTGACTGGTGGGAGGCATGCATGCATGCGCGGCAGAGCTGAACTGGGTTGACAGCTCACACGCCCACAGAGAGGACGTTGTGTGCCACCTCTGCAGTGGTGCATTCTGGATCCTGGTGTCCACCACATGAATGCATGCAGCACATGTGCACAGTGTATGCATGCATCCTTACCTCCTGTGACACCTCCACGACGCTTCAGCTGCTCGGTTTTGCACAGAAGCTGTATGCTCCGTACGCATGCGCAGAAGTGCCGAAGAGCTCAAATACAGGTAAGGAGGGCAGGTGGGTGGGAGGGCAGGAGGGCAGAATGGTATCCAGTGCTCCCAGCGGGCACTGGTACACCCGTACGAGGGCGAATTGTCTGCAACCCCCCACTGCACCTCTGGCATGCATGCCATAGGTTTGCCATTACAGATGTATGCACTTGAGAGACCGCCTGCTGCCAATTACCTCCCACAGACCCATTAGATCTCACAGGGTTGGCCTCCTCCGGGTGCCATCTACCAGCCATTGCCATCTGGCTATTACCCGGGGAGGGCCTTCTCTGTGGCAGCTCCGGCCCTCTGGAATTAACTCCACGCAGGGATTCGGACCCTCACCTCTCTCCAGACCTTCCGAAAAGCCATCAAAACCTGGCTT